TTACTACACATCTTTTTGTGTCTCTCCCCCTTTTCTCGCCTTTGTGTTTGGTTTTCACTGTCTCTGTACTTTTTTATTTTCAACCCTCACTTCAGCAGGTCTTCTCTCTTTCTACCGTTTTATTTTTCCTTCCTTGCTTGTTAAATACATGCAACAGAAAATGAACTGAAGCCTAGTGACTGCTATTTCTTTAAATGTATTTTATCAGGAAGTCCAGTGTCCCTCCTTTGTAGATGAATGATTTAGATTTTTTAGACTTGGATTTCATGCATATTTCCCCTAGTTTTCAAGACACTCTTCATATCTGTAAAGACTTTAGTATGTTTCTGACTCTGTCATAACAAATGACCACAAACTTAGTAGCTTAAAACAAGAAAAAATTATTTTCTTAGGTCTGGAGAGGCAACTTAGAGGTTAAGAGCACTGTCTCCTCTTATAGAGGGCTTGGGTTTGATTCCCAGCACCTCCAAGATTGCTAACAACCACCTGTAACTCCAGTTACACATGAATTTGGGGGGAGAATTTAAAGTCCAAATTGTTACAAGTATGTGCTTAACTTAAAAGAGCTTGTTTGTGAAAGTGGTGGCTTAGTTACTTTTGAAGTAAACAGATCCCTTTTGAGATCTAATTGCCTGTCACCTTCATCCAAAGGAATTCTGCTGATGGCAGGGCTTTCAAGCAAGTCTGGAAACTTGTTTTTGGAGAAGGGCTTCATGTAGGCAGGTATCTGATCTGCATGCCAGGGCTAGACTTAAATCTCATCTTCTACTCCCGTGACTCAGCTATATGTATATTAGGATGCTTTCATCACTCTCTCTGTAAGTCCTTCACCAACCCGCAGAGCCCAGTTGGAAGAGAATGGGCTTTGGTGCAAACCCCACTGGGACACCTGTGTCAGGCCACATACTAGAACACGGCTTGAACAACTTCACAAGTGTCAGCTATCAGCTGAAGAGTCTGACCCCTATCAAGTGTTTAACTGTTATTAATTTATTATGGAGTTTGTCTGGATAAAAGACTATTCTAAATGACTAAATGCCTAATTCTGGCACTTTCTGCCTAGAGAAATAAGCTTTTTGTGTTTTGTTTGCTGAGAGTGAGCACCAATGGTCACGGTTCATGCTAGTGGGGTCTTTTTGAAACTTCTTAGAAAAGAAAGCTCTTCAGCTATTTATTACTTTACTCTGCCAATACAGACTGCAGCCAATTATGTGCCAGAAAGTACTGATGGAGGAATGCATGCTGCTGAGTGCTTCTCAGTCAGCGTGGTTTTACCTCACTCTTGTTTTTTAAGCCTCACACCAAAGTGTACCAGTAGCATCCAGGAAAGGCCAGGGATGTGGCCAGAACAGCCCCCACAAAAGAATTATCCAGCCCCAATGTCAGCCGAACTAAGGTAGAGAAAACTTGCCTTAAGTAATGGAAAGCCACAGGTTTCCCTTATCTAAGTACTAACTAGGCGTGAACCTACCTAACTTCTGAGATCATACACAATCTAGAATATGCAAGGTGTTATTCAAGATCTTAGGAGGCTTCTGAGCAAGGAATGTGGCTCAAAAGAATGTTGGGAGGTCACTGATCCCTAAGAGCCACATGGTAGAATCAGCTCTTACAAGTTGTCCTCTGGCCTCTGCAGGTGTGTGATACATACATACATACATACATACATACATACATACATAC